GATTAAATGAAGTTAGACAGCTATGTCTCCTGAGACATCTAGCATTTTTTTATAGTGCAAACATGAAAAGGTTTTCTTCTAGGTTTTGGACACATGCACTATATTGTCGTCACCTACAGTCGCCCACTTGTGCAGTGCGGCACCAGGACTTTTTCTTCCTAATTATGCCTTTGTACCCACTTCTCAGTCTCTCCTCATCATTTGATTTTGTTCCTTTCTGACTGACTTCTTGCTCAATTCAAGTTGCGCCCACTTTGACTTAGTATTCATGCTGGAAATAGGACCAAGTCTTTTATATGGAAAATATCATTATTTTGTCTATATATAGAAACATACAGTTGAGAACAATTGGAATTTTTTTCTCTGATAAAGTTTTTATTTTTAACATTTGTAAATTTTATTGTTTTCCTTGTTGTCCCTTACACTTTTCTCTTCTCTATTTTGTTTTTTATTTTGAAAGTGTGAAATGTGTAGTAAAACTTGAAAGAATATCCATCTGTACATGCTTTACTGAGACTTACTAATTAACGTTTTCCTCCATTTTTTATTGTGCAGATTTAATCTTTTGTTTTGCAGAATCCTTTAAGAATAAATTACAGATATAACACAAATTGCAGATATAACCAAAGTATTTTAGAATGTACCTTATCAAAACATGGAATTTTTTTCTAACCATGAAACTATTATTATGCTAAAGAAATTTGACATCGTTACAGGAATATAGTTTAACATATAGTCATTACTCAATTTTTCTTCTTTCCCCAACATAGTGTGCATTGGTTATTGTGGATTAATCAGTTTCATTTTGGTAGATCAACTTTTCCTAACTATTTCCGCAAAGTGCTTTATAGGTGTTTGTTTTAAAGCCATAATCCCAATAAGGATGTGTGCATTCCATTTAGTTACCATATCTTGTAATCTCATTAATCTATCACAGTTTCCTTGATTTTTTTTCTCTTCTTTTGGCATTTCAGACTACTAAATTTTAAATTCTAAAAAAATTTATTAAGTTTATTGATACATTATAGCTATACATAATAATTACATTCATTATAGGAAATTTGTATCTGTACATAATTTAACTTGATTTTTTTCTTCATTCCTCCACCCTGCCTTTAACCCCTCTCTCCCTTCCTATTCACAAAAGCTTTGTTTTCTTTTCTTCCTTCTTTTCTCTTCCATTATAAGAACGCTTTGAATATTTGCTTTTGGTGAGAAAATGAGTGCAATAAGAATTGTATAGAGGTAATTATTCTATTAATGTAAATCTGAATAGATCAACATTAACTTCTCACAAATCTGCGATTTGAGACTATCGTTTAAGGAAATGTGTATGGTTATCAAATTGACCAGGGACAGATTGTGGTGGATTAATGGTCATCTTTTAAGGACCAACTGAATTGAATTAGTATGGTTCTGAGTGTGGAAGGCCCACCTGAGTATTATTGCTGATGACATAAAAGAAGAACTGGAGGGGAAGGTGGTACTGTTCATTCTCCTGGAGAAGCTTGTCATGCTGATTTTCCTGATACGAATTCTGCTGTTCTTATCATCAGAGGAGTGTAGGTCCTTGCTGTTGATGAGGATGGCTGCAGTTCTTTTCGAGGGAGCTCTGATCTTTACCTTGAACATTGTTTCCTGGCTCCAGTGCAGATCCCTCAGCCTGCTAATGTAGATCCTTCTCTCTCTGACATAAACCCTCTAGCTTCCACCACTGACTTTTAGGCTGTCCTAGTGCAGATCCTTGATATAGACTTGCATGAGCCATTATCGTGGGCTCTAGGCTCCCCCAGTTGGACTCGTGCAGGACATTGCTAGGGAATCCAGGCCCTCAGCTGGCTTTTTAGGTCTCTGGGGAGTGGACAGATCTCTTGTAATCTTCTGCATTTGACTCTTTGGATGAATATTATAAAATAATTCTATATATTATGTGTCCTGTATTAAATCTATTCCCTTGCAAACCCTGAGTACAAAGAATTGGTATTGGGAGTAGGGAAAAAAGAACACTTCACCATTGCTGGTGGGACTGTAGACTGGTGCTATCACTATGAAAATCAGTGTGGGAATGCCTCAAGAAACTAGGATTAAAGGTTCTATCTGACCCAGCTACTCATCTTCTCTTGGATTCTTCCCAAAAGAAATAAAGCATCATACAACATGGATATATTCACACCCGTGTTTACGGGGGCACTATTTGTAATAGCTAAATCTTGGAAATAGCCCAAATATCCATCAACAGATGAATGGATAAAAAATATGTGGGTTTTTAAAAAATACAATGGACTGGTACTTTTCCATAAAGAAGTATGAGCTTGTGACATTTCTATATAAATGGATACACCTTAAGTCCTTACTCCCACATGAAATAAATCAGACACAATATTTAAATATGTTCTTTCTCTAGTGTGTGAAAATCAGAGTGTATAATCTATAATAGATATTGTGAGATAGGAAGAAAATGTCGAAATGGGAAGGTGAACTAGGGAGGGTGGGAGAGGGAAAGGAAAGAAAGTAAAATATACTATTAAGTTTTGAACAATCTAGTCTAGCCTTTTGAAATATATTCCAAACACAGATATCTGATTGTTTCCTCACTTTAAGGTTCAGGTTAACAATATTGGGAAGACTGCTACCCTGAGGATACTGTATCCTTTCCATTCAATTAAAACCAGGGCAGTAAATTTGTTCAATTATTGGTTAAATTTGATTCCTTGCTTGAGGTGGTAAGTTTCAGATCTTCTTATATTAGGGTATTTTACCACCTGTATAAAGAATATGTAATCTGTGGGATGAAATTTCCTATTCCCTAGTAACTTCTTTGTTGACTGTTTAAGATAGGGTTTCACTATGTAGTCTACTCTGGCCTTGAACTCATGGTGATCTTCCTGCCTCAGCCTCCCAAGTCCTGGGATTATATGGCATGCACCACCATGCCTAGTCCCCAATAACTTGATTTTAGCATAATTGGTGGTCTTTGCTGAGTTAGTCTTATCATTCATGGTTGCAAATATTGTTTTTCTAATTCTATTATTATTTTCACATTTACTGTTTGTTTTTCTGGAACATGGGATTGAACTCAGGTCCTTGTGCTTGCCAGGCAAGCACTTATTCTACTGAGCCATCTCCCTGGCCTCTTATTTTCACATTAACTAGTTGGCATTTTTAGACAGAGAAGAGCCTTTCTTGTTCTTTTTAAGGTATTCTGTGGACTTGAGGGTTCTTTTATTTATTGTGTCATGATCCACTGCTGTATTTTTTATTGTAAGATTTCTATATTGAGGTATGGTTCACACACTGTGAAATATATAGGTATTAAGTGTATGATTTGATTCATTTTGACAAATGTATGTGCCCTGTAACACTCATTCAATTAAGATACATTTTCACAACCACAAAATTTTTTCTTTGCATCTTTACCTGATCTCTTTTCTTTCTTATTTTCTTTAATTTTTAAATTGTCCCAAATATTGACAGTGAAAGCCCATTAAGAGAGGAGGTGCTTGGGAGCACTTTCATGCTTTCTCATTCAAGGAAGGTTTCAGTCTTTCTTGTATGGAAGAATATTCTTTTATTCTTCTGGTTTTATTCTTTTTAACAGCTAAAACTAATTGTAGAGCTGTTACTTAAATTTTTTAGGGTTTTTTTTTTGAAACAAGATCTCACTATGTAGTTCAGGTTTGTGCTAAACTCAGGCTGCCCCTAAACTCATGGTGATCTTCTTGCCTCAGCCTTCAAGTACTGAGATTATAGGTATGCACTATGATAGTTTCTGGAATGCTGTGTTGTTAAGCTCTCCATCTTTTTTTTTTTTTTTTGTTGTTGTTCCAGGAATTTAACTCAGGACTTTGCACTTGCCAGGCAGGTGCTTATGCCACTGAGCTATCTCCCCAGCTCAAGCGCTCCATCTTTTAATCCTGTTATTACAGTGCTCAGCGGACATCATGGACACATGTTTTTGCACACTTACACGAGTGTTTTTGCAGGTTAGAACTCTAGAAGTGGTACTTATAGTCCTGACAGTATGGATTTTTATAGTTTTGATTGCTATTAGCAAATCCTTCCCTCACTTATTTTATATATGTATTTATTTTATGTATTTGGTACAGGGTCTCACTCCGCAGCTCAGACTCATAGTGATCCTCCTGTTTTCAGCCTTCCCAGTGCTGGGATTACGGGCATGTGCCACTGTGCCTGCACTCGGTCACTGGCTCAGCATGCCCAGCATGGCATGGGGGACTGCAATTGAACTCTAGTCCCTGCACTTGCCAAGGAAAGCACTTAGTCTGCTGAGCTTTTTTGCAGGCCTCTTCCTTCCCTTCTTAGGAAGCTGTTTATTAATTAAATTTCTACTAGTATTGCTGCTTTTCCAGCAGCCCCTCAACACTGAACTTTTCTGTCTATGTGCATGCAGCAGTACAGGGTTTGAAATTGGGGTTATCCTTGAGCAAAGCAAACATGCAAATGGCAGGCCCTCTTTTTGTCCCAAGCTCCCCACCCAGGTTTGATTTGCATAGAAATGAAATCTCAGAAGAGAGGTTAAATCCAAGACAAATTCTGTCCTTCTCTGTCATTCACTGTCGCAGTCAGTATTACATCCAGCTTGAGGCCGAGGGGATTCTTACTGTTTTCATTCTGTACTACCTGTGCATGGAGAGGAATGAGGAAGGTTGAGGGGAGAAGGGCATTATCTCCAGGAATTCTGATCTGCTTGAGTAGTCTTTTCACATTTGATTTGGTTATGGCTCTGCATTTCTACCCTCAGATAGATATTGGAACTGATTGTTATTTTAGAATAAACCATGGTGATACTGCGCTTGGTGTGGAGGGCTTGTCACTTCATGTGATTTCACCTTTCAGCCAGCTGGTAGACAAATCCTTTTTGTCTTTATTTTAAATATTGAATCTTAGGTTAGATACCTTTGTGGATAATTTGTAGTTGTTTTTTTTTTTTAAACAGATTTTCTTTCCAGGTTATTTGTAAACTTCTGCTTTCTTCATAGGTATTTGAAGCTGTGATTTCATGGATCAATTATGAGAAAGACACCCGTTTGGAGCACATGGCCAAACTGATGGAACACGTCCGACTTCCTCTCTTGCCTAGGGACTACTTAGTCCAGGTGAGTACTTGTCTTCCGCTCGGTCCTCCAGGAGCAGCAGTGGCAATCCTAGCCATGTGGTGTGATCGAGGAGTTTAGTGGATCTTCTGCGGGGCAGAGGGCATGCCCACTGGGCTAAGTGTGAGGTTTGGCAATGGAAATTTGAAGAACATAGGTTTGAGATCAAGATTCTGAAGTTTCGGTTTCAGCTTTGCTACTTATTAACCTTGAGCTCTCACTTGAGCTCAGTGTCCTCTCTTCTAGATCAGATGGTACAATAGAGCCAGCAAGACTGTGTTGGGGAGTTGTGAGTGTGCATTCCAGGTGTTTAGCATGGGGGCTGACATTCCAAATGCTCAGTGCAAATCAGTGTCTTTTCTTGTGGGGTAACAAAGCAGGAAGGGTCATTCTCACAGTGTTTCTGTGCTTCCTTTTTGCTAGTTTTTAGGCAACTTGAAGCCCAAGTCAGGACTGTAAAAGCCAGCCCCTCACAGGTGGTTAGAATATATACTATTTCTACTTCCTCTAGGAAAGGCAAGAAAAATAAAGAATTATGGGGTGCCCTTATGGTGCCATGTTTTCTCACCAATCATGATAATAAGTCTTTGAAGCAAAGATTATAACCCTCTTTTCATAACTTGGGGCTCGAAGGTGTGGAGTTTGTGACAGAACTGGGCTCACCATGTAGTGTAAGGGAGAAGTCAGGGTTCAGACCCATATCAGCCTGGCTCTGAAGCTGCCACCTTTGATACTCTCTGTACTGTCTATTCATTACTTGGTTTGTTTGTATAGTAAATGTCATTAGACACTGTTACAAGCAGACAGAAAATGAGCCTTAAAATATGCAAAATGAATGAAACAGACATTGTGCCAGTCCTTAGTTGTCCGAGAGGTCTCTAGAAGGAAGGTGTGATGCAGGGTTAAGAGAGGCGGTGGCAGCCCTGCTCCTGTTATTCCTTGCCAATTTAACCCTTAAAATCTTAGTTTTCTCATCAAGCTAAAAATAGTACTGAGGGGCTGGGGACAGAGCTCAGCAGTCTAAGTGCCTGCCTGGCAAGCACAAGGACCTGGGTTTGATTCCAAGTACTGCATGCTTGCCACTGAAACAGTGTGGTGACACATACCTGTAATCCTAGTGCTGTTGTAATCCTAGCGCTGGGGAGGCTGAGACAGGAGGATCATTACAAGTCCGAGCTGTGTAGTGAGACCCTGTATCAAATAAATAAATAAATTGTAACAAATAACATAACAACTGACTTAATAGGATTTTGTGGGGGTGGGGGTGGGGAAAGTACAAAGTGAGATAATGCAGAAAATTTTATTAGTGTTCAGTGAATGCTAGTTGATATTACTGTTGTGGTTAGCTTTATGCCATCATATTCTTCTGAATATATGTAAAGTGACACCGTTGGCCATGGGCCTAACGGGTAAGTGAACTGGTCCTTGAAGATCTGCACCCTAGCCTCCACAAGGGTTGTGGGATGCTCTCTGTCTTTACAGGCTCTGCAAGCAACCTTGGACAGCACTACTGCCACCTTGTGGCCCCATTTCCTCCCTGTGGAAAAGATCCCTTAAGCACACACTTGGGAGTTCCCAGTGTTGCTGTCAAACCTCCTGCTGTCCGTGGGGAACTGAGCTGGGGTGGGATGGGTGTTTGTCTTCCAGCACAGTCCCACTTCTATAGGGAACAGAGCAGCCAGGGGGCCAAAGGCAGCTAAAGAGGCCTTGGAGACCTTTGTTTACAGCCTCCATCGGGTGCCACAACTGAAACTTCACGAGGACATTACAGAAGTAGCTTCTGGGTTATGGTGGCAAAGTGGTGTTTGGTCTGGAAAGGAAAGTCAGCAGTAATGGCACGAGCATTGTCACATGAGAAACTCTTTATTAAAACGTGCTTTGCTCAGGCCTTTCAGGGTGCACACCTCTGGGAGAGGATGTTCATTAGCATTCATTTGACCTTGAATATCAAGCAAGTATGACCTCTGGGGAACAGCTAGTCCCGTATGTACAGGAGGAGGGGAGGAAGAGGAAACCCTGGGCAGTCACTGTCTGACTTCTGGGCTTCCCAACAGCTAACATTTGTCAGGCTTCTAGTAAACATTTTAAAATGCTGCTCTGACTATATAGCATACTATATTGTGATGAACTATATGTTCACATAAACTTTGTAATTTTGACCCTTTTTAAGTATGTGATTCAGTAACATTACTTGCATTCATAATGTTGCACAACTGTCACTGTGTCAATTTCCAAAACTTCTCATGCTCCTAACTGAAGCTTAGCCCCTGTCAGAGACAACTACTTGTGCTTTGTTTTATATAAACTCATTAAAGCCCCAAGACCGAACAGAACTAGTGAGGTTGTAGATACTTTCAAAGTACCCATTTTAAACATAAGGAAACTAAGCATCCAAGATGTTAAATGCCGGTGCTGGGATTTGAGTCTGTCTGATAGCAAAGCTTGATCACTTAGCCCTTGATATCCAGAAGGTGAGCACCAAGTTACAATGCTGCGGACCCTTCCCTGGGTTGGGTCTGAGAGGATGTGGCAGGGGAGGGAGTGAGAATTCAGGGAATGAGCCAGCGAAGGGTCAGAGCTCAGGAAGCACGGCTGAGCACTGCTTCCGGATCACCTATGGGTTGTTACCTCCAGACAGTGGAAGAAGAAGCTTTGATAAAGAATAACAACACCTGTAAGGACTTCCTCATTGAGGCCATGAAATACCATCTGCTCCCACTGGATCAGAGGCTCCTAATTAAGAACCCGAGGACCAAGCCCAGGACTCCAGTGAGCCTGCCTAAGGTAAGCCCCAGGCCAGTTCCTGCCGTGGTTGAGACTGTGCTATGGGAAGGAACATGGCCTTCCGCTGTCCCTGCTCTTTCCTCACCCATGGCTGCCCTGTATCTTGGTTGCATCTATAATACAGGAGATAGAATCTGCTCATTCCTTTTGAATCTGCTTGTTTCTCTTCTTCTGGGGCCTTCCTTTCCTTAGAGTTTTCAGGTAACCTCCAGTGTCACCAGGCAAATAGAGAATAACCCAGCTCTTCCCCTCCTCCTCATTTCACACCATAAAGTAGAGGAATGTCTTCACTTAGTGACTGATGGCCGTAACTGTCTCAGTTCTAGCTTACCCTTTGAGTCTGTCTCCAGTAAATCTTTCTACAACCCTAGTATCCTGATGTCTGTGGGGAGATTCCAGTCAACCTAGGAGAGAGGGTGGGAGGAGAGAGGTGCGTCGTGTTGAAGATGCAGTAGGCAGTACCAGGAAATTGCTGCTGTAATTTGGCCCTTGCTTTGTCCTTTCCCTCTCTCCAGCTGGCTGTCACCCTCCTTGCCTGCCACTTCGAAGAAGGTTTCACAGGATAGAGAATCATATTGTCATCTGAGACTAGCTGCAGTGCTTCTCTGAGGATTGCAGTTTTTTCTTTTCCTTCTGCTCCATGACCCTGGAAGATAGTGGTAGTGATGTGACAAATGTCACAAATGTCCTAGGTAATAATAACAGGAACCAATTTTTATTAAGGGCTTTTTATGTGCCAAGCCTTTAGCTGATGGTGACACACGCATTTCTTATTCAAACTTCTCCACAACCCTAAAAGGTAGAAGCAATTATTACCCTAAGTCTACAAAGGAGGAGATTGCTTGCTACACCCTGATAGGCTTTTTGTTTTGCTTTGTTTTGTCAAAATGTTACATTGAGAGCTCTTCATATTTTTCAAAATCAAAATAACTTAACTTTCATTAATTAAAGAAATATGGGGGCCATGGAGATGGTTCAGTAGAATAAATTCTTGCCTGGCAAGTGCAAGGGCCTGAGTTCAATTCCCGGTTCCGCAAAAAAAAAAAAAAAAGAAAAAGAAAAAAAATCTAGAAATATGTGCTCACTGCAGATTTTTTTTTTTTCAGAACCAGGGATTGAACTCAGGCCCTTGCGCTTGCCAGAGAAGCAGTTATTCCACTGAGCCATCTCCCTGACCCTCACTGTAGATTTTTGAAAGGACACTGCAAATTAGAAATGAAATAAAAGTCACTTGAAACCCCTCCCATAGACAGCTACTTTACCACTTGGGTGAGTTTTCCTTCAGACAGATATATTTCCATATAATTTTTTGTAAATAGGCAAAGATGTACACTTTAATTTTTATTTTTTTGCATGGCTAACATATTTATTTTTTTCAATAATTTTACTGAGAAACAAATAACAATGAGACAGTTTCAAAACTGATTAGTAGGACAATTTCAATAATTAATACATTGCACATTGTTGTCTTCTTAGTGGTTATTCATAGTACAAGATGCAGACATGAGATGTACACTTTTAGATAAATGAGATCTTGGTATACTTACTGAAATATTTTCCTCCCACTCAACTAACTATGTGCTTCAGCTATGCTCTTGATGATATCAGTAATGGTGAAATCAGCATGTAAATTGTACAGGGTACACGATAGTACTGTATTTAATTGTATGTCTGTACCAATTTGTACTTAATTGTCCTCACTGATGTACCTTGCAGTACTTTCCCTTTTTTGTTATCATAAATATTTCTGTGTCAAATATTCTTTATAAAATGATGTCTTGTTTTAGTTTGCATTCCTTTAATTGTGAGTGAGATTAATATTAGTTTTCTATGATTGATGGTGTTTGTATTTCTTTTTGAGTAAATTCTCTGTGGCTTTTGGCCATCTTTCTTTTGGATTTTGTTTTTATAGATAGTTTTTGAGGGCATTTTTACAGTAAGATCAGGTCTTTGTATGTATCTCAAGTATTTTTTTCTTAATTTTCATTTTGACTCTGAATTTGTTATAATATTTTCTTCCAAACAGTGCCTTGTCTTTTTAATTTCTTAGCTGTATCTTTAGAATAGCACACTTTTTATTTTGAGCTTTTAAGACTTTAAAAAACTGACAGTAAAAATTGTGTATGTATGTATATATAGCATGTATAAGAAGATGATTTGAAATATGTATACATTGTGAAAAAGCTAAATTAAGCTAATTAACATGTATTCCCTCACACATTTAACTTTTTGGTGTGGAGAGAACACTTAAAATTTGCTTTTTAAATGATTTCAATAATAAATATGTCATTATTAACTATAGTCATTGTGTTATAAAATAGAGCTCTTGAACTTATTCTTCCTATCAAACTGAAATTTTGTATACTTTGATCAACAGCTCTGCAGACCTCTTCCCTTTCCCTTAGCCCCAGTAGTCATCATAGTGCTTTCTTTCTTTCTTTTTTTTAAATTCAATTTTATTTTATTTTGAAGAGTAAAAAGAAGCAAAAACAAATAGGAAAAAAACCAGAAACAGGATAACATACAACAATACATTTGTTACAGATTTTCAAAACAGGAATAGCTAATTAGCAGTGGTTGGTTTTATCATCAAATCTGTTGCTCAGATTAACAGATGTAGTTATGTAATATTGGAGAAATAGTTGAATATTGCCCTTGTTTTCAAGAAATCTTAAGTTTTTTCCTTGTATTTTTTAAAAAGAGTTTATTTTAAAGAGAATATAATAATTAATAAGACAGAAACAGTACACATTTAGAAGACCAAGATGAGAGGTATTCAACCATGGGTTTTGTATTACACATCGCTGTCCTTGATGTAGTTGCTTAGATCACAGATATCAGCATGCAGAGTTAGTCAAGGTGAAAATTCTAAACATTAACTCCTATTTTCAAAAGCTGATGGAAATGATTATTAGTACAGTCATCTCAGCCATCCTAGCCATCCTGTATATATACTTGCATGTTTTTCCCCCCTTTTCTTTTTTCCAATCTTTTTTCCTTTCTCTCCTCTTCCTTGTTTGATCCTTAAGTTCATTTTTTTTTTTTTCTGTTTTACTATATCTATTATACCTTTCAGGTTTTATTTATTCTCTGAGGTTCTTACACTAGGGATACAATATGATATTTACTAATGGGGGTCTGATTTATTTCACTTATGAGTGTAGTTTCTAGTTTGCATCCACTTACTGATAAAGGCTTTGAATTTGTCTTTCTTGTTTTTTTGCGGAACAAGGGATTGAACTCAGGCCCTTGTGCTTGCAAGGCAAGTGCTTATGTGGAATAAGCTTATGTAGAATGAGCTATCTCCCCAGCCCCAAAGTTTTTCTTTTTTTAAATGTGTCTTTCTTTATAGCTGAGTAGGATTCCATTGGATAAAAATATCACATCTTTTTCATCCATTCTTCAGATGACAATTGGTTGTTTCCAAGAGTTGGCTACATCATAGCACTTTCTCAATCCATAAGTTTAGTTTTTTTAGATTCTGCATATTAAGAGAGATCAGGCAGTATTTATCTCTTTGTGACTACCTTGTTTTCACTTAGTATTCTGTCCTTATGGTTTAACCAAGTTGCAAACAAAAAGATTTTCTTCTTTTTAAAAAAGGCTGAATACCATTCCACTGTGTATATCTACATTTTTTTTTTTTTTACCTCTTTTTTCATTGATGGGCACAGGCTGATGCTGTATATTAGGTATTGTGAATAAGGCTGCAGAGGAGACAGGACCAGGTTTTTGGTACACTGATTTAAGGTCCTTTGGATGTATACCCAGTGGTGGGATTGTTGGATCAGATGGTAGTCTTATTTTTAATTTTTTTGAGGAACTTCCAAATTCTTTTCCCGAATGGCTGTGTGTACTTAGAAGAATGACAGTTTTCAATTTTGTTCTGCTATGTTTTATATTGTCTCATCTAAAAAAATCTTTGCCTAACCTAAAGTCACAACGTTTTCTCCTGTACTACTTTGGGTAGCTTTAGGTTTTATATTTAGTTCTATAATCTACTCTGGAAATTGAAAAAAAAAATATGATCCAAGAAGTAAAGATCAAGTTTCATTTATTTTACATGTGGACATGCAGCTGTCCTCTACCATTTATAGGAAAGATTCTTCTTTTCCCTTAAATTGCCTTGCCATTTTTGTTATAAATAACAGCTATATGTGTTGGATATATTTCTAGATTCTGTTCTATTCCATATGTCTGTCTGTCTTTATAGCAATACCATGTTGCTTTGTAGTAAGACTTGAAATAGTACAAGTTATCCAGTTTTGTTCTTTGTGGTTGTTTTACTAGTCTAGGCCCTTTGAATTTCATTCAGTGTGTTTATTTCTATAAAAACATTGTGGGAATGTTGATTAGTGTTGTATTCAACCTATAGATTAATTAGAAGAATTTCTATCTTAATACTAAATCTTCTGATTTATGAACACAGTATACATTTCCACTTATTCATGTCATCTTTAATTTCCCTCAGTGTTTCTTCATAGTTGTCCACATATAGGTCTTGCATGTCGTTTGTCAGATTTATCCATAAATATTACATAGCTTTTGATACAATAGTAAATGTTTTCTTTTTAAATTCTAAATTTAGTAGCTCATTGCTCATTTGTAGCAATTTGGTGAGAAGGGCCATTCAGTGGGGAAGGAAAAGTCAGGTTGGTGATGACTTCATTGGTTTCTGATCCATAGGGACAGTAGTTCCAGGAGATAACTGCTTTCCCTGGCCTGATAGTTTGGACAGATATTTAGGCCTTTCTTCTAGAGTGTTACCTCCCCCACCAACTGGGGGCTCCATGACAGCAGGCATTGCTCATCTGTGTCTTTGGCTCCCAGCCCAGATCCTGGCAATAGTAAATATTTTCATGAATGAAAAAGATACATTTTTAAGGTAGTAACCTTATGGAGATTTAGTATTGCCCATTTATGTTAGCCTCCTTTTTCCCACGACACTTTCAGTATCCACACATATTTTTTGCATGTTGTGATGACAAGTCATGTCCTAC